TTAATTTTAATTTAATTTATTTTTAATTTTATTTGTCGCGCTGCTGATGATGTCAGGTACGCACTTTCGTCGGGCGCGCTGTAGTCTACCGCGGTTTTGGCATGCCACGGTCATCATAACCTAGCCTGAATAGTTTTACTCTCCCCTGAAAAGGTGACGAAGAGATGACGCATCTTCTGCCTTTTCTTGGACAATATTGGGAAAAGGAGTGGGGGGAGCAGGGGGAGAGGAGACAAAGACAATGACAGGGGGGTGGAAAGAAGTACCCAAAGTTTGTGGGTGCGTTTTGAGGGAAGTGAGGCCAGCTCTAACATTCTGGGTCCCTAAAAACCAAACTGCCACAAATCAGGCCTGGGACAAATAGAAAACAGTGGATTGTAATGGCAGTTCAGCATCTAGATGACGGGTGGCCACTGTGGACTTCAACTCCTAGAATTCTCCAGTTAAAGGGAATCGAAGTCCACAAGGCTTCAAGCGGCCATAACTTGGGGACTCCTCCTGGCCTGGATCCTGAAGAAAAGCGTGAGAATATATATGATGAGGACGGTTATTCCGGGGTGGGGGGGGGTGAGGGGGGGAGAATTGCTCCGGTGAACGCAACCTTTGTACCCGGAGTCCCATCCCACCTGGATGCTGATTTCCTCTGCTTCCTTGGCCATTTCCAGAGCCGCTTTGAGGTTCTGCTTCTCACTTCGGCTCCTGAGCTTGGCCTGGAAGGGAAGGTTGGCATCAGGGCTGCGATTCGGGGAAGAACTGGCGGCGCGGCTCCTTCCAGGAGGCCAAAGGGACCGTTTTGTCACGAAGGAATTATTACGGCTGGCCCCCCCAGGGAGGATGCTAAGCCTTCTTCATCCTTTCTTGGGGGCTTCCCTTCTGTCCCCTGTTGCTTCTCAGCCCCCCCAGCCCACCCCCGGAAATGAGGTGGCCTGGAAGGAAAGGAAGAGCCTGGGGTGGGGAGGGAAGCCGGCCTGGTTTCCTTTGGGCTCTTCCCTTTTTTTCCACACAGCTGGGGAAAACCTGAGTTTACCTTAGGGAGAAACGTTGTGGCTGTTGGGACTGTTGTGTTAAAAAGGACACTCGAGAGAGAAGAATGGGTGGGTGGGTGGGTGAAGGAGTGGGCCCCAGTTCATACAGGTAGTCCTCAATTTATAACCATTTGTTTAGTGATGATTCGAAGTTACGCCAGGACTGAAAAAAAGGTTTTTCATACTTTCGACCATTGTGGTCACCTGATCAAAATTAAGATATTTGGCAATTGACTCATATTTATGACGGTCGCAGGGTCCCCTCTTGCCACCTTTTGACAAGCAAAGTCAACGAGGAAGCCAGGTTCACTTAACCACCGTGCTACTGACTTGCCAGCTGCAGTGATTCACTTAACGGCTGGGGCAAGAAAGGTCATAAAATGGAGCAAAACTAACTTTAACAACAGAAATCTGGGGCTCACTTGTGGTCGTAAGTCAAGGACTACCTGTAGAGTGCCTGCCTGCCAGGATTAATGTAACGAAGCACCCATTTTGCTCGTTCCCCCCCCTCTTGCACACTCGGTGTGTGTGTGTGTGTGTGTGTGTGTGTGTGTGTGTGAAGCCTACCCCTTCTCCTTTTATAAAAGCCCCAGAGAGTTTCTTGT